ACGAACCGAACGAAGAAAAAAAAAAAAAAAAGAAAAGACAGAAAGAAAGAAGGGGGGAAAAAAAACGATCGAGGATACGTATACACACGTTCCACACAACTGGACACACGTTTCTTCCGCGTTCTGTTCCATATCCTCCGCCCGCGCCATTATATACAGCCAGCAGTGGCGGTGTCGTTCATCTCGCCGTGTTTCCAGGGCCCTTGCTGCACATCCGGTTGCACCCTGCGCAACGGCGATAAGTGCAGGGACGACAACGGTTGCAGAGACGCGAGCTTTTGCGACGGGCGTAGCCCCCAGTGTCCGCCATCCATCAACAAGCCCAACAAGACCATATGCAACGAGGAATACGTCTGCTACATGGGGGTGAGTTGTACATGTACCGTTCTCTTGTTACACGTCGTTCCTTTCCCATCCGCGTGAATTCGGGACACCTTTGCAACAACAACAACGTGGGGGGGAATGATGTACGAAGCAAAGTTCACGGTCGATCCATCCGTCGAATTATCCTGCGATTTAGGATTTTTACGCGACGAATAATCAGATAAATCGAAGAGTATAAATAATGGTTGATTGTTTGCCAGAGAAAAATCTTTTAATTTCAATTTATTTACAGGTAGATAGGTGTCGAAAATGGTGTATAAACAATTTCGAATTACTTTCGTTTCTCGTTTCGTCGAGTCGCCTGGATTTTTATAAATTTAAAGGGAGAGAAGAAACAGTCGTTGGTAGAAAACAAGAAGAAAATTGAATTGCTTTTTAATCTTCGATTCAAATTCTTCGAACAAATGATGATATCCTCCCCTCGAGAAAGATTAATTCTAGGATCGAGAAATGGTTGCATCAAATATTACAATTTCCTGTTGCGAAACTAGCTGCTCGTCCAGTTACTTATTCATCGAAGTCATTTCCCGGATCCAACAATCAATTACAGTATAATCACGATTGATCATTGGACGACGATGACAACGAGAAGAGAGATATTTATAAAGAAACGCGTGAAAATCGATAACCGACAATGTTACCAGCAAATTTCCAATGATAAACTTCCTCTTCCCCTTTCTTTCGACACCAAGATTTCCATTTAAATTTCCATTTTGCGCGCGACTTTGAGAATAAATCCACAGAGAGAGATTCGAAACGACCAAATGCTCCTGGAGAGTGTGCTGGTTGGCTAGATTGGTTCTCCTTCACGGGGAGAAAAATCCACCGGGGGAAACGATCTCGAAATGTACGCGTGGTATTTTCCTACGCGCTTTGAGCGTGGATTTAAGGCTTTGAGGTTGGCGTGCACACGCGCATCGAAGCAACGAAATATCCTTCGCATTCGTTTGTCGTTCGAAATCTCGAGACGCATTCCTTGCTCGCATCGGGTATCGAGGCCGTGAATACGGATTAGCTTTTGCACCAAATTTCAACCTCGTTTCGAAATTAATCCCACGGGGAAGAATATGATTCTCGAAAATTTTTTCCGCAATTCATTTTACGATTTAACTCTCTTTCGTATTTATTCCTACGTCTACGAGATATAACGTCGTGATATTTCGTGATTTAATTCCTCGTAGAAACAGAATTCCAATGATCGTAAAATTTGAGAATTATTTTCCTTCGCAAAATCTATTTTAATAAAATTACCAATCAAGAGGAGGAAAAATGAGCGTTTCGAGTCGTCGTTCAAGTTTACCTTCTTGTCTGCGATTCGTCGAAACAGCGGACAACGGGCGCAAGGTTATTCCTCTGGTTTCAGTTCGAGTAGAAACATTGGATTACAGGCAGCCAAGCTGAAAACGCGTTTCAGGCCGCACACGTGCAACAATTCGACAGTACGCATCGGCAGCTACGAATCGATACTCTCCTCCCCCCTCGAAATACTGGCTTTCTAATCTGCAAGTACAATAACGAGGCGAGATGGGACGAGTCAGCTGCCGTTTGCAATTTGCCTCGCCTTGCTTGTGTTTTCGAACGACGCCCGTTCTTACCACCGTGCTGCGTAATGACGCACGTTTTCCAAGAGAAAGCATTTAATTAGACAGTCATCTACGTTCCCACGACTCCTCTGAAAGATCTTTCATTTAATCGTGTTCCGATATCCAATAATTATTCTTCGAGTCGTAATTCAACAATTCTTGCAAGATGTTTCGTTTAAATCATGGAATATTTTCATAATCGTTTGTCGAATTGATGTCAAGATAATCTTATACATTTTCCTTATTATTCTAACAGATACCTAATAGATACTTGGAAATTTCCACAAATACCAATCGATCAGTATCCAAGGAAGTATATAAATAAATATCAATTTTTATTCCAAGAACAACGTTTTCAACGAGAAAGAACCTGATCGATACGTGCATTCCCAATTGCTTGTCTTCCCTCAAAGATCCCTCCCTCCCACTGGGAAATTACCTCCTAGTATTTAGAGGTTTATTCCATATAGCAGTAGGCCGACACTTTATCGGTGTGTCGCATTGCTTGCAGGAATGTACCGGCAGCATTTGCCTGGCTTACGGATTGGAATCCTGTCAGTGCATCGCGGGACCCGACGATCCCCCGACCAAAAGCTGCGAACTCTGCTGCAAATTGCCAGGAGAGGATCAACCGTGCCTGTGAGAGACGATCGCCTCCACGATACGCGCGAATGTTCCACTCGTTTCAATTAGTTCCTCCTCCCGAGCAACTTTTACCGGAAATGAATAATCCTGCTTGAGGAGATTTGGCAACCGCCGCCATTTATCGATCGATCAAACGGGTCAACAACCCTTTGAGCGCTGAATCATTTTTTGATCTGTGAGAAAAACAGTTCGCCTTTACCCTCCTCGGATGGAAAGTTCGCTCGAACCATTGACACTCGTGCGAATTTGTGTATCCGAGGCGAAAACAATATTCCATTTCGTAATGAAGATCCACACTCGAAGATTATTTTTGGATTATTCTTTCTTTCGCAATTATTAAAAAATGAAGCACAGCGGCAAAAGATTTCCACCACGTGATTTGTCCAATTGCAATCAATTCTAAAATTTAAAATTTCTTCTTTCGCTTCATCTGATAAAAAAAAAAATCTTTCCATATCAACGATTATATATAAAATATCTATTATAATATTTATCTTGCTCCTCTTAACAAAAAAATTTCCTCGCTTTTATCCTTATCGCAAATATTCTTCTTCTATTCTAAAACGCTCAAAGGGTTAACGCGATCGATTCTTTTGCCTCGAATTTTCAACTTCCGAATCTTTTTTCCGCATTCGCGCGGATCCGTATTTCGTTCTTACCTCGAGAAGTAAAAAACCTCGAGAAACTCGAGGGGAAACGAATTGTTAGCAAGCATCGAGCAAACGGGCATTCAGAGTACCGTCGTCTCTTTGCAGATCATCGTTCGCATGGAATTCAGCGCCTTACGATATTCCTGACATGCTGTCGAAGCCAGGCACGCCATGCAACGATTACAATGGCTATTGCGACGTCTTCCAAAGATGTCGAGAGGTAATAACACCAGCCCCTCCTCTCCCACGTTTTTCATCTCGCGTCATCCCCTCGTTTCCTCCATTTATATCGATATTTTATCGATCTTAATCACCGTTTCGTCGGTGAACATTTTTAATTGGACAAATTTTAAATTTCGAAGGTGGATCCCAGTGGACCGCTGGCAACTTTGAGAAGGCTACTTTTGTCGGATGCCAGCCTAGCGAACTTCCAACGTTGGATGATCGATCGGTGGTACATTGTTGCGGCAATTATTCTCGTCTTGCTGTTGATCTTGGTAAGTTTCGATCTCAATTTTTTTTTTTTTTTATTTCGAGCGACAAAAGTCGAGGAGAGTCGAGGAGAGTAAAATTAATATCGAAGACGTTACAACGGCGGGGTGAATTTTAAGATGACATTTCGGATTCCGGATAATCGAGGAAAAAGTTGATGCGTAAAAATAAATCGCTGACGTTCGTTTAATTTTTATCGTCACGAAGATTTGGTGCAAAATTTTTTTTTTTTTTGGTAATAATAGAAACAAAAACGCGTAAATTTGATTCCAGTATTAATTATTTAAACTACGAAATGTAGGGTAACTCCGTTGGTCTGTTATAATTTTGATCGAAACGAGTTTGATATAAAGATAATAAAGATCTTCGATTAAAAAATTTGAACCGATTGAAAGAGAGAATTTTTTTTTTTTTTCAAAATAATCCACCGTTTTATTCGATCAATTTTTTTTTTTTTATCTCTTTCAACATTTATAAATTCGGATAAATTCTTTCCAAAAGGTATTTCTTAACAACTTGTATTTTTAACTAGTTAAAAATATACGTATATATCTCGACGGGATGTAGCGGTATGTTCAGCACTGCGAAAGTACCGTTGACGTATCGAATACCGACGCAAATCCAATTACTCGTCCTGTCAATTAAAATTTGTACATATGCATAAAAAAAAAAAAAACACGGCAACAGTTGCGCGTTCTCGTTCCAATGGAAAATATGTTGGGAGCATCACGCGGGGAAATACGATTCAATTACATCGATGTTTTTGTTCTGTAAACCCGTAAAAGCGCACAGATATTTCTATGGCAAATAATAATCAGTTCGTTTAATTTCGATCCACGCACGAGTGTTCATTATTGAAAAAAAAAAAAAACAAAAAGAAAGAAAGAAAAAAAAAATTGCACGGTAAACATTAAAATTTACTGAAATATATTATTAACGGATACGCTCGATCGAGAGATACGATTCTCAATTTGTTCATTTTTAATTTGTTCGAAAAAAAATAATAATAATTTTAATTCCTGTTCGAATTTCATGTGAACACACAAGGACCGATATAATATATATATATATTTGACGATTGAAAATGACTCGTTTTTCGGAAACTATTCAACAAAGAAAAAATTAAATTTTGTTCGATCGAATTAAATATAAATTGAAAATATTTATATCCGTTTTTTAGTAACAATTTTTTTTTCTTCAAATCACGTATTATGTGACGTGAATACGTACGTAATATATAAATAAACGTACTTTAAATGGAGAAAGTTCACTCAAGTAGGTAGAAAATAATCCCAGCTTAAGTTTGGTCTCAAACTTTCCATTACTTGCCGACAAAAGGATTTATACAAGACACGTTTCTTCGTCGTCCATCAGTTCAGATAAAACGAAGCTAAGAAGAAATCCAGATGAAACAGTTGAAATACACTAATTTTACATACTTAATGACACGATTCTAAAAATAAGAAAACACTCTCTAACCGGTTAAAAAAAAAGTTGTGCATACTTAAAATTTAGCATTCTACTAATTAATACTATCACCGAGATCGGATCGTTACATTACACTCTGCTCAAAGATCGTTTTGGAATTGCAATTCGAAGATCGACCACACACGAATATGTATAATATTACACTCATTTCTGCACTTAAAATACATCGACCCGATCAACACCTGATTAATGGATCCTAGTTTCCCCCTTTTCTAATTTTACTCCACCATTATCCTATAAATAGAAATGAAACGTACCACGCGACATTAACGAACGATTAAGGAAGGTATCGAGTGAAATACATCGTAAATTCAATTCTACGCAAGTTGGCCAACTTCCGGGCCACGACGGCCCGCCAAAGCGGGCGGAAATTCATCCGGAGATAGGTTTAAAGTAGCGGCGGTAAAGCACGAAACCGCCACGAATTATATTATAAACCATATCCCGTTGGGAGCTTCCCGTATAATGCGACCGCAAACTTTTTCCCCGCAAACGAATACTCTGCCAACCTCTGTCTCCTCCCTCATCTTTCCATCTGTCTGCCTCGAATATCGTTTCTCAACTTTATCGTGTCGTACATAATTGACGGCTCCTCGCTTCGAAATCAATCTTAAACTTAATACTTTAAACGCAATTACGCTTGGAGAGATGAGTTTTAACAGAAATAGATATCTCCTTCGCTCCTATTTTAATCCGTGACTCTTCATCGTCCCTTCTTCTTCGATTGAAAACGAAAATTGTGAAACTTGATCTTTAACAACCTAAAAATATATAAAATCTCCGCCAACAATCTTCATATCTAATCAATCTTCCAAAAATATCCCGCCCGACGTATCAACACTTCTTTCCTCCTGGATCCAATTAAACCGTGAAACGAGCATCTTGGATCATTCGCACTAAAAACCGCATTGTTTCCGCAGGCGTTCCTGGCGTGTTTCCTGGCGAAACGGCGGGACAACCGTCGTGCAACGAGGAGTGGAGGAGGCGAGGCGAGAAACACGAGAAGCGAGGAGCGCTCGTCCGTGCGGAAGATACAATCTATGGACATTTCGTGGTTGAAAAGGAGGATCGTCGAGGCGATGAAGAGCGTCGCGTCTCCGCGATGGAAGAGGGACGGCACGTTCCTCGCAAGGATTTCTCGACTGGTGGCCAGAGATTCGGCGGCGGCCACCTCCGCCGAGGGGGAGCAGTGCTCGACCGAGGTGGAGAAGTTGTGCAAGGGTGGCGGTGATAAAACGGGGGAGGAGGCCGGTAAAGAGGAGGAGATGGACGTTTGGAGGCGAGTTCGCTCGTTGTTGGCGGGGAGTCGAGGAAGAAAATCGGGCGAGAACGGTGAATCGGTGAACCGTGGCCCCGGTTGGAGGAAAAGCGTCCAAGTGGAGAGGCTGTGCACCGGTTCTAAGGTGATCGTGAAGTCTTGCAGGAGAAGCGACAGATGCCAAACCGAGCCTCTCGTGATACCTGACACCCCGGATACCCCTTGCGAGGTGTCAGAGATGAGATGTCAAACGTCGGATTTGACCGTGTTGCTCTCCGATAGTTAGTTTCGAAGAAGTTTCGTGAATAACGTGAATCGGTGAATACTTGCAAGTTCCTTCGTTGTACTTTTTGCTTGGGGAAAATATCGTTCGAACAAGTGACGATGAACGATGAAAATTTTATTCGTCGTGTTCGATTAATTATATTCGACAATTGTTTGTTAATTGTTGAGATTAAGAGGATACGGAGGCAATGAATTTATTTAATTTCAGGGATTTTTTTATTGTAAATAAAATTCTCAATATCTGAACATTTCTCGTCTTTGACGCGAACGTCTCTCGAGAGAGATAATGCTGCTCTTTCTTTTGAATCTTTTGTTAAATTCAACGTATTGATTAAATTTCGATGCAGCCATGTATTATTCATTTATTATTTGTCCAAACAACGATGTTAAATATTTAATTACGTTAAATATTAATTATGTCAAATATTAGTTTATATTTAATATTTCATTTCGTTAATTTATGTATTCATGTCATTTAATATTTCATATTTTTCTGTTGATTTATATATCGTTATATATATATATATATATCATTCATTTCATAATATAAATTTCATTATTGTATCACTTGAAAAACGAAATCCATCCAATTTATTTTTACTTTTCTTCGAAATAATTTTTCCAACGCTTCACGCAAATGTATCTTTGTCTTTTCGTAATATTCTTTTCAACTTCGATTGACGTTACGCGTTCAATATTCCTATACGAGCAATTTTCTGTCATCAGATATACGCGTTTCAACTTTGTTTCAAAAAGACAATACTTTTATGATCAAAGATATCCTTAAAGTTGCGAAAGATATCATTTTTGTGAAACTTTTGGTATGTAAATATTGTACAGAATCTTATACCGCTGTCATTGTAGACTACATTTTAGAGTAAGATATGCGACAACAGGTTTGCGAAATCGAATGAATTCTTGTAATTCATTTTAAACAGCTCTTCACCTAGAAGCGGACCAAAGATAGATGGAAAATCATCCAACGCTGAACTTCGTAGACTCGTGTATATAAACTGACCGATTGTTATTGTATAATAAATCGTATGTTATCATTCATTATTAACCCGCAATCAATCCATCTAATGTACACCTACCATTTCTCAACTATACGGGGTAAGTCATTTAATTTTATTCTCCGAAATATTTCTATTTCTCGTCAAAATTCTGTACAGTGTATTAATTTGGGATATTTTTGAAAAATGACAAAGCAAACAGAACAGAAGTTGATAAAATATGCAATTATAAAATTAGTACTTTACACGGATAATAAATATTCGCTCGAATAGTCTTCATTGAGACTTTTAACCAATAAGTTAGGCAAAGAAGATGATAAAAATTAATCGAATAATGAAAATTATCAAAAATTTTATAACAAAGAGGGCAAATAATGCGAGAAATGATAAAAATTGGAATATCAACGCCATCTCTAGAGTGTTGTTTAAAATAGATACAGACAAGGGGGGCAAATAATAGGAGAAAGATAGAAATAGAAGAATTGACTACTAGCACCACCTGAGACTTAAAGATATATATATACATGAAGAGACAAATAAGTAGATAAAACAGACTTCTAATCGAAACTCAATCCATAAAGAAGATATGAAACAGGCATAGGATTTATATAACATTCTCGAAAAAAAAAAATGTTTCGATTTACTAACAGCTAAATGCTTATTGTGAACAAGTTATAACGTCATAATTTTTAAAAAAATTAAGATGTTATCAATAGTCGAATAAAACTTAGTAATTAAAAAAATAATCGCGCTCGCAGCCAATTAGCTCATATTATTTGCTATAAAATTTATAATTGTATCATTGATACGATTATGAATTGTATAATAAATAATAATGATTTCCCAGGTCTCACCGGCTTGGAGGTTGCTGCGAATTGGAGACCCACCCTAACCACGACGTCCCATCCACCCTCCTTTTGCGCAAAAATTTATTTCAAACGAATCTTCCTTTTAGTGTACGTTTCCAAAACATTCCAAATTTGGATCGTTTTGCAATCAAACAACAAAAGGAATTCTAAGGAAAACCGACGCGATAAGCTAAAGCTGAAAGTAAAATTAAAATTATATCTTAATCTAACGTATACAACTCTATATGAAACACATATATGTTTCGTATGTACATCAACATTTTATATACTCATTACCATGAAAATACAAAATATTGATAATTTAAAACGAGCTTTTAAATCAAAAAGAGAACAAAAAGTAAATATATTTCACACAGAGTTATATTTATTTTATTGACTACCACCAGTTTTAATACCACCACTAATATTATTACCATTAATTATGCATGCAGTTACAAAATCTACTTCAAGCAGTTTTTCTACGGCAGCAATTCTACAAGCCAACTACTTATAATATAATATAATTATAATATAACAATTTCATGAATTATTGATTAATTAAATATCTTTAAAGATATGTTAATTCCAAATGTAATTAACAACAATTTTTAAGGATAATCCAAAATACTTAACATAAATCTACAATTATTTTCTCAAATAATACAAAAGATACAAGAAAAATACAAAGACTTATTTACGGATAACCGAATTTATTTACAAAAAAATTTCAATAAAATCGAAGGAATTATATAAAAAACAAATATCTCTCGTTTGATTCCATATTCACTTCACACTCATTCTACACACATTCCACACTGATTCCATTAATTTCTGATACAAAGAATTAGTAAAAATTCTAAGAAATGTAAGTTACTACAATAACTTTTTATATAATTCATTTTATATATTATGTAGAAACTTATATTTGTTGAAATTTTTATTAATCTTTTGTGATCTTATTATTACTTATTAGTACTTATTACTATCTATATATTTTTATATAGTACTTATTACTACCTATATTGTAGTCTTATCTTAATTTTAATATCTAATATACAAGTACAATAAATATACAAATAAATTTATTTTTCGATTATAACATCTCAATTTATATTTGTTTTTTTTTTAATGCCTTCCTTAATTGCTCAAAGTACCTATGAACTACTTATTTACCTTTATAAAAACCTAAAATATGATTAAGAGGCCTCTTCTACAAAAAGATATCGATATTATTAAGGAAAGGGAAGGAG